GATACTGACCAGTGTTACTAAACTGTAAGCAATACAGTAATTGGATACATTTCTCTTGTCCCCCATATCAAAAACCCAATAAATATTCTATAACAAATTAACAGAAATGTAGAACAAACAGAAAATGACGAAAGAGTAGGAGATGACAATATAAAGTAGGCACTTTTTTCATGGTCAGTTTAAGCTATACTAAATATTTTTCCTATTTATATGTAGTTTTATTCTCTCTCATTGCAACCACCATGTAATCTACATATACAATGCAGTACTGCACAATTTCTCTCCCTCCTCCATTTGAGTTTAGTTTTTATGGAAAAAAAAAAAAAAAAAAAAAAAAAAAAAGCAACCCAAAAATCCCAATGAGAAGAGCTAGGGATCTTCCCAATTTAGAAATAGTAAAGAAATGCATCTTGTATTTATGACAGGGAAATCAGTGTTATGGCTGTAACCAGGAAAGGGGAGCAGGAGGGAAAAGAGCTTGAAGCAAATAAATAAAGTAAGAGATTTTAAAGAATTTGCAAGCCAGATCTACAATAAGATCTGAAATTCCACACGAACCGAAGAAACTGTACATTATATAATAGATCTAAACAGTCTCATTTACAGAAAATGATCTTTAATGTATATTAATCCATGGCCCCCAGTCTTGATACCAACAACAGGCAAGAATCAAAAAGTTAAGGCTGGAACAACAGCTTCATAGTATTTTACCTAATTTAGGTCTCTATCCTGCACCAAGAACCATACTGGAGGTAATCCCTTGTATTCAGAATGTTCAATGAAAAACTGGGACTTAAAAAAAAAAAAAAAAAAAAAGTAGTGCTAAAAACACTGAGTTTACAACTTCTAATTTTATTTCTTAAGAATGTATTTTGGAAATTTTCCATTAAAACAAGGAATGCACATCCTCATATTAACATATCTTTTTTTAGCGTAAAGTGGCTTTAAAGGACCATAGAAAACCAATATTAAAATGTATTTCCACATTGGGAACCCCTGGCTTTTTCCATCTAAAAGCTGAGCTATACACAAACCCAAAGCAATGTCATTATTTTGTTGGAAGTCTGTACAAACACTTGTTTTAGAATAAAAAGACTAAAGTTAGCTATGGTTATTCCACATAAATTAAGTTTTAATCCACATTTTTATTTTATTTGTTTCAGCATAATTTTTTGCACAACCCAGGTCTAAATAAGACTCGCTATTACCACTACCATCACAAAACCTTGGGGGTGCAGGGAAGGGAAGCAAACTTACAAGGCATTCTTGAAAATTACAAGAATTGGATCCCAAGCCCCTTACTACTGGACAACAACCCCTTATTTCACAGATACTTTATCAGTCATGTATGTAGTTTTGAAGGAATTGGAAGCCCTAACATTTTATATATGTACAGAATTTTTTGTTTTGGAAATGTAAATAGTGGAATGAGGGAAAAAAACACTATACTCATCTCTTGTGAAGTTTCTCAGGCTAATATTTTTGTCTATCTAGTGAGCAAGAGTTGATTTTGGATATCAGCCTAAGTTTGTTTTTTTCCAAAAATCATATCTGAACTATTTCAATGGGTGAAAAACAACACTGCATAGCAAACATAAGAACATTCAAGCAGAGAAGTCCATCTAGTCAGTACATGGTCTTGGGCAGGAGCCCATCCCTAATGCTTCAAAGGAAGATGTAAGAGACCCATCTACGCTGTATTGTTAATTATGTGAAATCATGGTTATATGACACAGTTATGAGATTCTGTAAGAGTATATTTTATTTTCACATAGATACCATGTCCCTTCTACCCTAAAAACAAAAGGGTGTGTTAGTTATGTACTTCTATACTGTATTATTTTATAAGTGTGGACACTGTAATTACACACGCACGTCCTGATCCTACTGCAAATACAAAATGTGAGAACACAATCTATTAACGCAAGTGTCATGTCCTACAACAAACAATTTGCATTGTTGGATAGGTTAAGTTCCTATAATTAACTTATCCAAAAACTGAAAGAAAAAAATTCTCTTCTTGTGCCACTTACTGACTGATCCATCTATTTCCAGTAACAGGAAGTAAAACCCATAGTCTTCATCCATTAGTTCAAACAGAACCTCTACTGTGGTTGTAAAGTATTGTGCGCGCACAGAGAGTATTCAATAATACAGAGAGGTCTGAGCATTATATGAACCTAAACTATCTGCCTCAATAATATTAAGCCACTACAAATTCCACAGATAAACAGCGATTAAAGCATCATATGGTATTTGTTTATTTGTGTCCATATGAGGCCCCACTGGCACAGATATCCATTTTTATTTTAATTCATTGTCACATCTACTATTACTCCCCTTCGCAGCACTAAAACCTAGTTTAGATATTTCTTTTCAAAAGGAAGTCTGTTGTTAAATTGCTGTGTGCTATGACTTTTTATTATGCTGACCTAGATTGAGTATAAGTTGAAAACATACATCACTTCTTTACGGACTGTCATTTTCTAGCCCAATACCTTAGTAGCTTCATTGACCATTCCTAGTGTTTATGATCCAATCCAACAACTATTGCAGCCCCTGGAAAAACTCCTGCTAATTTCCAGAGACATTTGAGCCCTGAAACCAAAAGGAGAATAGGAAGTGCACCCCTGATGCTTTAAAAACTTACATGTAAAACTAAAGTTAACACCCAAAAAACATATGAAGTAGACGGGGGGGGGGGGGGGGTCAAGAAAGGCTTCAGAATACAAAAATGAAACACAAAAAAAAATATTGAAGAGGGGGGGGGGGGGTCGGTCAAGACAGACTTCAGAATACAAAATAAAAAAAAAACCAACAGTGATCCAACAAAAAGCAGACATTTTAAGAAACAAGACCACTTGATTTTGCTGTAGTTCTGACATCAGGAGATGATAAACTCCAGTAAACGAGTACCATACAAATGTTAAGCTACAAAAAAAAAAAAAAAAAAAAAAAAATCCCCACCCCATGCCAAAAAACGTCGTCTGACTAAATTGCAGCTGCATATATTAATTGAAAAAGTTTCTGCCTAGATTATTAACTAAGTATCAGAGCTCGAATGAATTGCGATGAGCCAAGAAAACCTACTGAATACTCATAGCAGGTAACCTGGAACCTTGTCATTTTTCTTGTCCACCAAGTTATTTCTCAGCTATTTTTAAAACTGTCAACTCAGGGGATGAAGAAAGCCTACACAATGCACATGCAACACAAGAGATGGAAATCTACAGGGCCTGGCACATAGGAGGAGGAAATTCCCTGAAAATTCTCTTTAAAAACATCACTTTGCCAGAAATGTTTTAATTACATAATTGCTGAAGATAGGGGAAGGTTTACACAAGACCCATAATTGGGCATAAGACATCACATCCTCCTGGTCTATACCCGGCAATCTGGTCTGGGTAACATTCTTTGCTCCGACCAATGTGCGCAAGAGGGGCGGAGGAAGAGGTAAAGCGAAGCAAGGGGGAGGAATGGAGGGGTTTTTTTTCCTCCTTTAATACTTCCTCTGCTTATATGTTCTTTGCACTGCTCCTGTGAGGCGTTTTGGTGGCATCCAAACACTGAAATATTGATGGCCGTGCATCCCTGCCTGGGCAAGATCTCGTTTCCAACGCAGTCTCCTAGAGACTCTCGGAAACAAAAGGCGCTGCGGGGCTGACAATGAAGGCCTCCCCTGATTTTTTTTTTCTTCATTCCTCCCCCCCCCAAAATAAAAAAAAAAGAAAGAAAGAAAGAAGTGGGGTGAGGGGCACGTGTCCATGTGCCTCCAACCCTGCCACCGCTTGGGCCGTGCTCTGGGGCCACAGGGACTGACAGCCAAGACATTCAAGGGGAAAAAAAAAAAAATCACAACCCGCTGGGCCGGAGAAGACGTGCAAAATGTCTCCTCCGATCCCACCCCCAGCTCTCTCTTAAAAAAAAAAAAAAAAAA